GATATTTAATGTGTTGAATAGCTTGCTCTTCTATGTCATTGTGATAAGCTGAGATGTCATTGGCAGAATCTAAAGTTGGCCATTCATTAAGTGTTTTAAAATCAATAATAGATTGTATGAAGTTACCTCTAATATAAGGTTGACTTAATTTTTAGTTTGAGGTTGATATGGAGAAGGGAAGAGATTGAGGTTTTGAATTTGAAGTTGGTATGAAAATTGGAGGAGAATGTTAAGTAGGTGAAGGACTTATGAAGATATTGTGATCTGTATGAGTGAAGATTATTTGCTAAAGTGGCAAGGTATACAATTGATAGTTGATAGATGTTTGGATTCTTTTTTTTGTTAATAGTTTTAGTAGTCTTTGACATTGTTATTGAAGCTAATTATTTATTAAAGTGAGCACTCATGAGGTCAGAAGTGTCAAAGTTTGAGTTGTTGTTGGATGAGGTGAAGAATTTATTTTTATTAAAATGGACATCTCTAGTTATTAGAATCTTTTTATGACTTAATAAGACGATGCGGTATGCCATTGATATAATATCAATGCCAAGATAAAGTCTTCGTTTTGATTGCACTTCCAATTTGTGATATTGTGTGATGTCCTTGCCGACAAAATACAAACACTCAAAGATGTATATTTGATTAAGATCCGGCTTTGTTTTCATAAATATCTTGCATGGTGTGCGACCTTTATTTGCCATGATAGGACTAGAATTCACAAGATGGATATTGCTGTAAGCAACTTTTATCCACAAGTACATGGATATGTTCTCTTTTAATAACATTGTTCTAATTTTGTTCAATATAGTATATTTTTTCTTCTTTGCTATCCCATTTTGTTGAGGTGTTCAAGCAACACTTAATTGCCACATGATTCTATTGTTTTCAAGATAAGAGGTAAAGTTTATTGAGAGGTATTCTCCACCCCTATTAGACCTCAAATAGAGGATCTGATAGCCGATTTGTTTTTCAGCCATAATACAAAAAAAATTAAATATCTCTAAGGCTTGATGTTTTGTTGATATAAAATAAATCCATGAAAATCTGTTGTAGTCATCCATAAATAAGATGAAGTAGCAAGAGTAACCTAAGGATTTAATAGGAAGAGGTCTACATACATCCATATGAATAAAAGCTAATGGTTTAGTAGTCTTTGTGAGAAATTTTTGGAATTTTGCTACAAGTTTGTTTTCTTTGGTAGCAATTATGGCAATTTGGCGTTCTACATAAAAAGAAGGTATTCTTTTTATTAATTTATGAGAGTTGATGAGAGCTAGTCTTCTATAATTTATATATCTTAAATGTTTATGCCATAATTTGGATAAGTTGGTAGTATTTCTTAAGTAATTTAATTATAGTACATTGTTGGTTTTAGTTAGGTAACTATTTGTGTTAAAACTTTGGTTAAGATATTCTAGTTTATAGAGTCTATTTGTTTGCTCACAAGATCCTCTACCTATTATTCTATGTGGTTTTTGAAGGGAGATGACACTACATTTAGTAGGACTTAAAATGCATAAATTTTTTGGGTTAAAAATTTGTGCTTTTGAAAGTATATTTCTATATAAGCCAACAACTTAACAAATATCTTTTAGAGATTTTATTTCTCTATTGGGCAAGGATAAGTCAATTGATCCTTGCCCTGCTATTACATGAGAGTGGCCTCTTGTGGATGTGACTGTGGTACTATGCAATGGACCTATTTCACTCAATGCAGAATAGTTTCTTGAGAAATGACTGGAGGCTCCTAAATCAAAGATCCAGTCATTGTTTGGTTGGCTAAGGGAGAGAATATCTAAGGCATCCAAAATTTCGTCATCACTTTAGTGAAAGGTGCTCACCCGTGATCTCTTCTGCAAAATTGACTCCCATATTCTGTGATGCAATGTTGTGATTCGTGAAATGTCTTCCTGAAGCAGAGTTCCCACTTGTGTGCTGATAGGGGATTAGTGTGGGAGCCCGGCAATAACGAGAAGTATGGCCGATTGTGCCACATCTGTAGCAGACTGTGCTGCTCATTGTAGACGTATGTATGGTGTTTTGGTGATGGAACCTGCTGGAATAGTGGTTTCGATTTCACTTAGGTGCAAAAGGTATTCGGTTCTGTCTTTTGCTGTATAGATTCCGGATTCTTAGTAACAACGCCTCATCCTGATTTTCACCAGTTTGTCTCAAAGTCGTGTTTATTTCTTCTATGTGGAGAAGATTCCATAGTTCTTGTAAGGTGGGGATTGACTTCTCCGATTGGATCTGTAGCATAAGCTTGTCGAAGCGCCTAGGTAGACGATTCAAGAGCTTGTATACAACTTCGTGTGATTGGACCTGGTTAATAGATTTTAGATCGCATAGTATATCACATACTTGTTGCATGAAAATCACTACTTCTTGGTGGTCGTTCATGCACAGATGCTCCCACCTGTTGAGCACTACCATGATGTCCAAAATTGTATTTGTATGGAATAATGTACTGAGCTGCTGCCAAGCTTTCTATGGATCGGGGATGTCGATAATGTTATGGCATAGTTCTGGAACGAGCGAGAGCTAAAGCATTGCTTTTGCTCTACGTTTTTGGCGAAGTTGATTCTCTGTCTCCGCTGTATCCAGATTTGGAATATCTTCGGTCTTTGTCTGCGTTGTGGGAGGCGAGGCTGAGGATGAGATTGGTTTGATCAAGTCCCATTAGTCCTCTTTCTCGAAAATACTTTACAGGGTGATTGACCAGTGCTTGTAGTTTTTGGGCCCCTCCAGTATTGTGTCCTTCAAACGAATGCTTTCCAGGTTGCTCATGGTGATCTCTTTGTTAGAACATCCTCTGTACGTCACATCAACACAGAGAATTCATCGAAGTAAAAATATGAGACCCTAGATTCAAGGATTAGCACAATGGAGAATCGTGGATCGCTGAATTTCAAAAGAGCTCACAGTCTGACTCCGCAACGCCATGACAACATCATGATCAGAAAATCAAGCATATCAAAAATACAATAACGCCCAACTCAACTCGGAAACCACTTCCCCACAAAACAATCAACAACATAGACACATTTTCGCAACTATTCTCCTTGACTTCGAGATCTTAACTACAATTTTCAGTGATGCAACAACAAACACAATTTAATTCCAGATCTTCTTCAACTAGTTCAATTCTTCCGAGTTTGAAAACAAGTGCTGTTACTCCCCTGCAGCTTTTTGTTCAACTTCTCCGTAGCAATCTCTTCAATTGCCACTTCACGAGCTGGGTACTGGTTGTGATGCCCTTTCCATACCACTGCAAAGCTACCAGAGCCTATCTACTGCGTCACAATGTATTCCCCAATCAGCCGCTCCCCGCTCCCTCTATGCCCCAAATGATTCAGATGCTGCTGATGCGGCGGTTGCTGTAGATAACGAATCTCCCTCGAAAGTAGCTCCGCCATCGCCAATTCCTACTCTCCCAGAGAAATCTCCTCGTAAAATTGTTCAGAAATCTCTCCTCGACGGCTGACTACATTCTTCGTAAAAAAAAAACAACGACAACAACACGAAACAGAAAAAAGAACGGAGCAAATGGTATGCATTGTATGCCTGTCACCTAATTATAAATTGAATTCGCTACGGATCTAGCTTGAAAGAGGATGGTGGATTAGCATTGTTTGTTTTCTGTTTGCATTGCCGCTCAAAGGGTCCCTAATCAGTTCCCTCATTGCGAATGCTGATTTAATGGACGCGCGGTGTTGCAGTTGTTACAGTGTTTACACTTCCCGGTAGTGCATTGAGTTGTTCTCTTGCTTTTTTGTGCACTCAAAATCTTGGTAATATATCAAGCTCAAGCTTTCATTCTAGGGACAATCAATGATAGGTCATTGTTAATTTTGGATTTATGGCGTTAAGCAGGTGGGATAACTCCAGCTTCGTCTTTGAAATGTTGTTTAATGGTCGTTGCAGTTCAGAGCTCGAACGTTCTGTGTTTGTGAATGGAGTAAAATGGGTGTATTTTACTCTCAACCTTGAGGTACTGACGCACATGGTTTCTTACACGGCACACGAGACAAAGAGATCTTCGGTACCGAGGATGTGGAAGAATACTTCAGAGAGCAGGAGTAACATTTTTGGCAGCAGGGACATGGCGATCCCAAATAACGTCGAGAGGAGAACGGGGGCGGACAAGGAATTTGAAACTAGGGAGCACGGGCGCCGATTTCGGCATAGCAAGCACTTTGGGACCAGTTGCAACTAAAAAAAGGATGTTACTTATAACTTATCACCCTCAAGGGGTAGTTTTCATATTATGACAAAAGTGGGGTAGATTTGCGTATTTCAAGAATTCATGGGTATCCTTGATATTTTAGCAAATTTCAGGGGTCTGTATGATATTTTTCCTTTTAATTAATTGAAAATACAAAAGTGTGTCTCAAAATAGATATTAAGATATTTTGTGTAAAGATCCCTCAATGCTGTAATTTAAAGCGCAGTCCTGGCTCCCCAATTGCTGCTCACGTGGGTGTTCTGTTCTTCAAGGATCGGACTGGATTGTAACTTGGATTGAAAAGGCCGAATTGCATAAGCAGGATGTTGAACCATAAAGAGAAGGAAGGGAGAAGAAAAAATGGTTACAAATGTTCAGTGGCACTCTGAAACCCTCTCGTTGAGAGAGTAGGGTGTCAGGTGACCCACTTTGTGTGCCAAATCTCGCTTGCAGAATGCTCGCATCAGTTTGTGTATACGTCTTTTCGTTCTCTTTTAGTGCTCTATGCTTGGCTCGACGTTGAGTGCCGACTAACCCCGCTTCATCTTAATCGGAGTTTACAATCCTGGCCGTACGCACTGAACATTGTATTTGATCTGATTCGGAATTGCACTGATTTAGTATTGGCTTTTATGCTAATGCTAGAGTTCTCTTTACTGCTGTGCTATTAAAACTAAGCTGGAAAAGTCCCTCCCTGCTATTAAGGAATATCTAACTAGCAATCTGTTCCAAGTCACTCGTTTTAAAGATCCCATGGTTTATTCTTCAGAATAACTAGCATAACCAGCACTTAACATATTTTATATCATAGGAAATGGTTTAAAATACAAAAAAAAATTCAATCAATAGTGTCACAAGTGGAATGTCAACATTGCCATAGCTGATAACTTCGGTCATTTACACTTCGGTATCTAACTCTACCATCTCTCCAAACTGTACAGTAGCAAGGATAGCGATCTGTGACATTCTTTCAAATACATCAGCACATCGGCTAAACCAACCTACCAGGGTGAAGGGCATGGAATCTACGATACAAAACCTCAATATCAACTTCAGCTGAAAGCTACGATTGCCTATGCTCGAAAACAACAAACTAGTTATACCAGTACGACTCTGCAATCAGAACGAACTCCCGGTACATTCTGCATGGTAGGTAATTAATCCAGCTGCAGCAGATCTATCAGATTCGTTTCGCCGCTGCTTCAAAACATGTTTAAGCACCCATCACTTCTTTCGCCTTCGCCAGGAGATTCTCTACGGTGAATCCGAACTCCTTGTACAGGGTGCCAGCAGGGGCACTGGCTCCGAAGCGGTCGATACCAATGCTTTTGCCCTTGAGGCCAACGTATCTCTCCCACCCAAAGGTTGATCCAGCCTCGATCGACACCCTGGCAGTCACTGCCTTCGGCAAAACACTCTCCTTGTACTCCGCACTCTGCTCCTCGTACAACTCCCAGCACACAAACGACACCACTCGCACCGTCTTGCCTTCCCCACGGATGATGTCCGCGGCCTTCGCTGCGATCTCAAGCTCTGAACCCGTGGCCAAGATGATGAGGTCGGGCTTGTTGTCTGTAGAGTTGCAAGACAGCTTATAACCTCCCAAGGCAACGTTGTCGATGGAGGTTCCAGCAAGATTTGGCAGTTTCTGCCTGGAGAGGGCCAACGTGGAAGGCCTGGTCCTGTTCTGCACGGCCACCTTGTAAGCGCCTGACGTTTCATTTCCATCAGCTGGCCTGAACATCAACATCTGGGGCATGGCCCTGAAACTGGCCAAATGCTCGATAGGCTGATGGGTAGGTCCATCTTCACCCAGGCCGATGGAATCGTGGGTCATGACGTAAATCACACCCGCCTCGGACAGAGCAGAAATTCTCATTGCCGATCTCAGATAGTCGGTAAAGATGAAGAAGGTTGCGCAGTAAGGGATCAATCCGCTCCTGTGCAAGAGAATGCCGTTGCAGATGGCGCCCATGGCTTGCTCCCTAACTCCGAATCTAACATTGCGTTCACCTGGCGTGCTCTTCTGGTAGTCCCCGAACATCTTCATCAAAGTCATGTTTGATGACGCCAAATCAGCACTTCCTCCAATAAGACCAGGCAATGTCCTTGCCAAGGCGTTCAAACACCTTTGAGACAAGTTACGGGTAGCATCGCCAGCGTCTTCAGGGGTGAAGGCCTGCACCACAAGGAAAGAGTAACAAAATTATTAACAGTAAATTCGACTGAAACGTCTTTTACATGCATCCTTTGCTTTGTGAGGCAGACGTGAATAACGCCCCACAGAAATGCATCGCCTCTTTATCACTAGTTCAATATTTCAAAACAAGATCAGTTTGCATGGTGCAATGGAATGTATATGACTTCGGCCTTACAGGGAGAGAAGTGTCCCAGCCCGCTGGCAATTCCAAGCTAATCAGCTGTTTAAACTCTGCAGCCTCTTCGGGGTATGACTTCGAGTACGCCTCAAGGGCAGCTTCCCAGTCAGATTCCAGCTTGGATCCAAGATCGATGTGCTTGCTCCAGTGACTGTTCATTTGTGACACAAACAATTGAGCATCAGCAAGCTGCCATGCGAGTAGATCAAAAAGAACCCATATTTTCCTCACTACGAGTTTCAAGTTTAGACAAGATACTTAGAGAAAAACATCACGAAAAAATTATGCACCTCTTGACCTCCTCGGGAACGAAGAAAGGCTCATGGTCCCATTTAAGGTTTTGGCGGGTTGCATCTACTTCTTTTGTTCCCAGAGCGGCACCATGCACAGCGTATGAGTTGGCCTTGTTTGGTGAACCATATCCGATTGTGGTTGTCACCTAAATTTCATGATTCAAGAATATCAGCAAATACAAGTTCATGCAGCAACCCAACATGAAATGTAGAAACTAATAAACAAGTAACAGAAATCTGATGCTGATATTCGGAAGATATTAAAAAAGTAGATAAATAAAAAGCTGTTAAGTGTACCTTGATCATTGTGGGCTTATCAGTTACTGACTTCGCCTCCTCGATGGCAGCTCGGATAGCATCGTAGTCATCGTTTCCATTCTGGACCCAGATAGTGTGCCATCCGAGTGCATCAAATCTGCGGTCTACGCTTTCCGTGAAGGCGATATCAGTGTCTCCGTCAATGGAAATGTGGTTGTCATCGTACAAACAGATGAGCTTTCCCAAACCCCAATGACCTGCCAATGAAGCAGCCTCGTTGGAGATACCTTCCATGTTGCAACCGTCTCCAAGGATACAGTATCTGCGTGTCAGTAAAACGCAACATATAAAATATCAGTGGGCTTCACAGTCAGCAATTGGGTCACAAGACGTATTACACAGCAGGATGAACAAAACGTCTTCCGCTCCGTTGCATTATCAATGTGTGTCCAAGTATGACCATCTCAGACCACCTGGATTGCGAAAAATGCACCTTGTATCTTGAAAGCTCATTGCGCACAGGGAAAAGAAAGATTGGAAATGGATAATTACGTGTAGTGGTCAACGATCTTTGCGTCAGGCTTGTTGAAACGGGCGGCCAAATTAGATTCAGCCAAAGCCAAACCGACGGCGTTGGCAATTCCCATTCCAAGAGGGCCGGTGGTCACCTCCACTCCTGGGGTCTCAAAATTCTCGGGGTGTCCAGGCGTCTTGCTGCCCCACTGCCTAAATTGCTTTAAGTCCTCAGTCTGCAAATATGCCATGAGTTTAGTTAGCCAAGTCCATTCAATACTAAAGAGAACGACTTATGCTCAAAATCTACTGACAATCAAGGTATCTACGACACATATTACCGGCAGAAAAACCTGAGCATTACTGCGTAGACCAGGCACTATCCACTTCAAACTGAAACATAGATACCAGAAAGATACAAAACATTTAAGACAAATCAAACAAATACTCAATACTGGAACCATACCAATTACGACAATGTGTCACCACCCACCATCCTGGGACATTTTACACACCCAGCAACCGACGTTCTCCATATGTCAGAAGGGTATCAGAGACATACCGTGACACTGTCGTATCCTGCCAGGTGAAGAAGGGCATACTGGAGCATACAACCTGTGCGGACACAAACAAACAAGCAGGCTCAGTAAAAGAATGTATCAAAACGATATTTGTAAATGCGTCAACCCAGCTGGTCTAAGACCAGGTTTCTCTGGTGAGACTCTCTCCCATACCGAAGGACTCAATCCCGCAGTCATTACTAACGCTCCTTCCAAGGCATTAAGTAAAGGACAATGATTGACGATCCATTTGCTTTGATTCTAAGTACAGATTTGTACTTTCACAATTCACGATTCACCTCTTTTCTTGTGCATCTCTGTTAAGTCTTCACTGTAAGTGTATAGCAATTCGAGGAAATTGGGTGGATCAAAATCCAAGATGAAGAAAGAGACTTCCAACTCACCGTGACCGGCGGACAGAACGAATCGATCCCTGTTGAACCAGTATGGGTTCTTCGGGTTGTACTTCATCACCTCGTCGTACAAAATGTGGCCCATGGGAGCACATCCCATGGGTAGCCCGGGGTGTCCGGAATTAGCCTTCTCCACGGCATCAATAGCCAAGAACCGGATTGTATTGACAGACTTCTCTACCACCGCGACATCAGTCTTCTCCACCGTCTCCACAGACGAAGCAGCTCGCACGGAGCTGTTCTCGGCCTTCAATGGCCGCACCCGAGGAGTAACACCGCGAGACGCGTTGCTTCCAGCTCGCAAACCCACAAATGTGCTCAAACCCAAACCCTGAGCGGATGAAGCACAAAGGCGAGCCGTCTCAGTTGCAGCAGCGCTGCGTGTCCCCACAGCAGCAGCAGGCGTACCCGCGACCGCAGCCACAGCAATCTTCATCGTAGCCATGGCTCAAGTCGCTGTAGCCCGGTCAATTGGCACCCAACGCTGCCACACCTGCACTCACTCACTCACTCACTCGCTCACTCACTCAGTCACAAAGATGGACTCGTTGCGAGAGCTGAGGGGGGGGAGAGAAGAGGATTGAGTGAGTGCAGCTCCTCGAGCGATGCAAGAGGATGTAGAGTCTCTCCTCAGCTCCTGGCGCACGCCTAGCCCGGGTCGGATCGGGCAGGGCCTAGCCGGGTGCGAGGGCAGAAATTGCGCGGGTGGAGGGGGGGAGGGGGGGCGGGTATGGATGGATGGATGGATGGGCCGGGCGGGGAACGAGTGGCTGAGGCAGGCAGAAAGTCGCAATTGGCAGAGAGGGGTGGGCGTGGGGTGGTCTTGGCTGCCCATCGCTCCCTTGCTATCCCCTCCCCTCCCTACCTCCCTCCCTTCTCCAATGCCCTGCCCCTGTCCAGCTTTGGCCCTGGAAGGAATGAAGGGAATGGAGAGAATATTCCCTTTCATTATTCCCCTCCCTTTGTGGGTGATAGATAGGGTGGGTTGGATCCATGGGTGGACCACGGCTCTTCATGCTAAACACCTCCAACCCCCCCTCCCCTTCTCCCTTTTCCTCCTTCCCTTTGCACCCCTTCTTTTCTTCTCATGTTTCTCTATATTCTCTGTATATGTTTTAGACTGTCTTAACTAATGACTTTTCTTAAGTTTTTGGTGGCTGAGTTTCTACTTTGATATCTTGACTGAATATTTATTTTTTTGGTTTACTAACGTATTGATGGAACTTTTGTTATTGTTACTATTGTTGTTATGCTTATTACTAATTACAATTTTTAATGGAGTGTAGATGTTCCTTTTGTCTTATTTATGAACAATGTTGAGAACTTTATAAGAATTTGATGTTTTTTTAAATTCACATTTGGATTATTTTTAATTAAAGAAGGATTTCTAAGACATAAATATATTTAATGATATATTCTAACTAGTGCATTTGAAAGAAAAAAGAATAATATTATAAATTTTTACATCCTAAAAAAAATATGTTTATATATATATATATATATATATATATTGCAAATATTAGATTTATTTCAATATATATATATATATATATATATACATATATATGTGGATAAAACTTCAATTATTCAACCAAAATTTGCAACTTTAGCTCAATGGCCATAAATGATAATAAGAGGTATTGTGCTTTTTTTACTTCAAAGGAATGATTTTGAAAATAAGTAAAAGAAAAAATTATATAAAAGAAATTGTGGTTCATATAGAAAAAGAGAAATAACATATATTTTCTAAACAAATTAATGTTGTTTAGAAATTTTCATAATTTAAAAGAAAATTTTAAAAGAAATTTACTACCTCTAAAAGTAAATCAATAACTTTTCAATTCTTGAAGATGCATTTGGTAAAAATTGTATTCATCTCTCAAATATCCTAAGATCTTTCTAATGATTAATATGTTTTTATTATCTCATTAAGTCTATTGTGTAAATATTTTGATATATTTTGTAACATAATTTTTAAAAATTATATGATATAGTGGTAATCTAAAGCCGAGAGTACATTCTAGTTTATATATATATATATATATATATATATATATATAACATAATATTATTAAAAATTATAATACTTAAAGACTAAAAACAATATAAAAAAAACTTTAGATATCTAGATTTTAAGGTTTATTTGATTAAAATTTTTAGAAGAAAAAAAATATTATTTCAAAAATAAGCTTTTAAGAATTAATTCTACTTATTGGCATCTTTTTATTGGCAAACCTTGTCATCTATATCATCTCAAATAATATTGTAAACTATATTAATGATTAATTGATCTTTTCAAAAGATATCTCTATAAATATTTAAATGATATAATTAATAGATTTGATGAAAAATCTAATTTTGGATACTTCAATCCAAAGTTTTAAAACCATTTCAAAGATTTAAAATATTTACAGATGCCTTCAATAAGTGGGACATTGTTTAACTCTAAAAAAATCATTTCAACCACCATTTTGCAAGACTTTAAATAATAACTAGTTTATCCAAAACTTTGATTTGATTGAAAAATAAATAAATGAGTTATTGAATAAATTCCATTCATAATAATGTTAAAATAAGAATAAGATACAATTAACTTAGATAAATTGCTAATAGCCAAAGAGTAGTAAAATAATGTAGATAACTTACTAATGTAGCAGCTAAAGTTTAATGTGGTGGCTAGATTAAGAGGAATCTAGAATTAAGATGGATGGATGAAGATGATTATAGATGAAGTTCAACTAAAATAGATGTAAATTCTTTCTATAAGTAAAAGGTGTTGGAAGAGAGGTATCTCATTCTACATTTTTCTTGTGTACAACAATTTTGATTTCTACTTATTTTTGTCTTACTTATTGTATTTCTTGAATGGATGTATAATAGGCAAATGAACTTTGTGGTAAGTTACTAGTTGGTTATTGATAACCTTAAGAATTAGACTGATGGTTAGATAGTTTAGTTGGTAATAGTAGGTTGTTAGTGGAATAAATGGTTAAGAATTCAAAGAGTCATAACCTTTGGAATCTGTTGGCTGACAATTCATCTTTTGGTAGGATAAAGAGATTGAAGAAAGAGAGATCGGGGCCAAACTATGATAGTCGTAAGTCGGAGCAAGCTTGGTGCTACTTCTTTCTATTTCTTTGTTGTTGACAAGTAATGGATAGTTTTTGAATACTGAGAAGTTAGGCTGGAATGCCAGACTGTGAGAGTCGTAAGCCGAGATATTGAATTCTATGTGATGAATTGAGAAACTGAATACAATAGATAAGTTGGAGATTAGTAATTGAATATATATAAACCACAAAGAGAGTAAGTAGAAGATGAATGGATAAGAATATGGAAGTATTGGTGAATTGATAGTCATAGAATGGATTATGGATTGAATTAAGATGAAAGTAATAAGCCTTGGTGTTTTGTAGTTGATAATTGATTTCAGATAGTTAGAGTATAGTCAATTGTGACACTAATAGACCCAATTCATATAACCAGTCTTTCTCCATGTTCAAACCCACCTCTATTAGTTCAATTGCTTTGGTATATTGAAGCTTAAATACAATGAGAAGTACAATGGGTTATGGGCCTACATACACTTTGTTGTGCCATTTAAGTAAGTTGATATCATTTTCTAGTAGTTATATTTATGTAGAATATATCTTATGGTAATTGATGATATTAAGTTTTATAAGATCTAAACTTGTATTTTGGCATGACAAAGTACTGATTTTGAGCTTATAGATCTCTAATATTATCTGGTGGATTCTTAATTCCTAGGATTGTAAATTTAAGACCTTATAGAAAGACCTTGATAGTATCTTTTTGTGTTGTTAAAGTAATTTTACTTACCTTATGTGTATTGTGAAATAGTTCATTTAAAAGAATAGGAGATCTTGATATTGAGATTCTTTGGAATGCACATACTTGTTAAAAGCTTCAAAACTTGATTCAAAAGTTTTTTGAGTGAAAAAACATTCTATTATTCACAAGATGGCATTCTGAGATTCGACTAGTATTAAATTGATTGCATAATTTTGAGTACATAGAGACTCTTTTTCTTGATGTTTTTTGATAGAATTCTTCTCAGACATGGCTTCTACTAAGAGTAAAGATTTGAGAGTGATTGAGAAGTTTAGAGAAAATAATTTCTACGATTAGAAGATCAAAATGGAACTTTTGTTGGTATCTTTGGACCTTTGAGACATTATAGATGAAAGTGAAGAGCTTCCAAAGATATATGTAGATGCTAAAAAGAAAAAGGACTTCAAAAGACATGAAATAAAGGCTTTTGGCATAATTAATATTAATTTAGATGAAGGCAATTTTTTTCACATTATATCTTATAAAAGACCAAAGAAAGCATAGAAGATTCTTTGTAACATATATGAGAGCAAGAACTTATCTAACATCGTCTTCACAAGGAGAAGATACTTGATTTGTAAGATGGAAGAAAGTAAAGACTTCATAGCTCATGTCAATAAGATAAAGGATCTTGCAAACCAACCAATAATTATTGACAAGCCTTCAAAAAAGAGTGATATTGTCATGACCTTGCTTGTAGGCCTCTTTGAGTCCTAAAACTACCTTATTGTGGCATTAGAGCCTATCAAGTTAAAAGAACTTATGATGGATTACGTGATGGCAAGACTTGTCTATGAATTAATCAAAATGAAAGAGAAAGCAAAGGTATTATTAGACAAATCTTTATTCTTTATACTCCACAACAAAATAGAGTTGTTGATAAAATAAATTGAACTATTGTAGAGATAATAAAGAATATGCTATATGTTCAATACCTCGGGCATGGATTTTGGACAGAGGCTTTGGTGAATATAATATATACAAAGAATAGATGTCTTATAAATACACTCACATCAATGACTCTAAAAGAAGTATGAAGTGAAAAGAAACCTTATATTTTATACATGAAGACTTTGGATGTATTGCTTATGCAATGATATCAAATTGTATGATATCTAAACTTAATGCAAAAGGTACAAAATGTATGTTTGTTAGATATTTTGAAGATACCAAGGCATATAAGTTGATGTATTTGAATACCAAGAGGATCATCAAAAATTGTGATATAGAATTTTTGGAGCAAATGAGTATTTGAGAGCACTTAGAGATGTGTCCATATGGAAGTAATGGTATATTTGTGGATACATCTTCAAATTCAGCAAAGAAAGTAGAACAAGATGATGACAATGAAAATAGTGGAGGTATGAATCAAGGTGAAGATGCAATGAAGATGAAGAAGAAGGCTTCTACAATTCTTAGGACCAATAATAAAGATATTAAAGATTATAATGATGATGAAGAGTACCAACCTTTGAGTGAGAAAAGACAAGCTTTAAAAGAAAATAATCTTGAAAGAGAGCATGGAATGTAATAAGATGAATCTTCTTTAAATAAAAAGAGATATCCTTTGAGAAAAAAAAGACCATGTAGTGAATAATGGAAGAACCACATCTTTCCTTAAGTAAGTAAAAAACATGTCAATATTATATTTCTTGCTGATCTATTGAATTTGTGTAATGGAATGAAGTCCATAGATGCTATGAAGTGGAGAATGCCATGGAAGAAGAGTGCAAATCACTCATGAACAATGAAATATGGAAATTGACTCAATTT